ACTCCAACGTTGATTTGATATGGTTTTCCAAAATTTGTCTTGTGGCGTTGGCCGTGTTAAAAAGTGCTTTGCTATGCATAAGGGGATGTCTACTTGAATGACGCCATGACAAAAAAAAAGGTAAAACATAACGTTTTCAGCACTTCCGCGATTCAAAATTTATTTAACTTTAAATTGGCATACACCCTGAGTGGGTAGTGAAAGCTATAACACGATGACAGGGTGATTACATTTTCAAATTTCTTTTGGGTGATATGAAACATGAAATTGGTTATGGTCTTTGTGTTGTGGGGAAACCCCCTCTGACGTTGTCCAAATGGTCCTGGTGTGTTTTTATGACTTTGTTGTTGTACTATTTCCCCGTTCAATTGTTGTCTTCCTGGTATTTTGTACCGCTTATAGACTCGATGTATTTTATGTGGTGTTAATAATTGTTCTTGGATTTTGATTATTTGATTGAGGATTTTTCAAGGCTCATGGTATTTTTTTTGGCTTATATATTATTCGGTGTATTGTATTTAGTATTTAATAATCGTTCTTGATTTTTGGTTGTTATAGGAGTTCTCAAAGCTCTCCGCGTAGTGTAGTAGATCGTATCGGAGATGGATTTGAAGTTCGAGTGCCTGGTGTTTTGAATAAACTTACAGAATGGATACGGGTCCTTTTTACCCCCATGCCCAGTTTCTTGGCGCTGTATAGTAATACAGGCCAAAGAAAATATTGTGTTGCAAGTAGTAAAATCTGTCTGTCTGTCTGTCTGTCTGTCTGTCTCTCTCTCTCTCTCTCTCTCTCTCTCTCTCTCTCTCTCTCTCTCTCTCTCTCTCTCTCTCTTCCCTTCCTCTTGTCTCTCCCGTCCCCAGCTAACAACGATATTCTTCCCAAAACGAGCTAAAAAGATAATGACGTTTAAAAACTTTCTTTCTTCTTTTTTTGTTTTATAAAACGTAAATAAATCAATGTAGTTTCCGTACCGTGTGCTTACCTAGATTAGGTACTTTTTATTGTAAAAAATGATTCATTTGTAGTGTATTTTGCTGTCGTTATTTAAAAAATATTTTGAAAAATGTATTTATTTATTCATTTCTTTCTTTCTTTCTTTGCACCTCCCTTTTTAGGCCATGCTACAATATTACGTCTGAAACCAAAGTTTGTTGAAGAATTCAGTGTATTATGTTTCCTGAGGTACTTTTTGGGCTGTAAAAGTTTGTCTGTGGGCGGCTGGGGGGCTCCTCAGGTTCAATGTGCGATATACATTTTTTGGTGTGCTGGTTACTCTGTTCGCAAAAGAGTGAGTTCGATTTCCATATTAGGAACAGTCGAAATGGGAAGTGTCCGTGACAAGTGATTGTCTCATACAGGTGGCTGTTTGTACAAGGATTGTCTCATACAGGTGGCCGTTTATGTCTCATACAGGTGGCTGTTTGTACGAGGATTGTCTCATACAGGTGGCCGGTTTGTACAAAGATTGTCTCTTTCAGGTGGCCGTTTGTACAAAGATTGTCTCGTACAGGTGGCCGTTTGTACAAAGATTGTCGCTTACAGGTGGCCATTTGTAGAAAGATTGTCTCGTACAGGTGGCCGTTTATACAAAGATTGTCTCGTACAGGTGGCCGTTTGTACGAGGATTGTCTTATAAGGGTGACAGTCCAGAGCAGGTTCAGCTGTATCGCTGTCTTCCTGTTGAGATGTAACTGTATCTCTCTCAGCCTGGGTTAGCCTTGGCTGGCAGGGTCGAAGCAGCCTGCCTCCAATATGACCTAAATTGTGTTGATGTGCGCATAAAACGCCTATTGTTACTTTTTTTTTCTTTGCATGCCCTACCTCTTCATTGTCCTTGTGTTGTTCCTTTCATTCCTGCCTGCGTTATATTATACGTACTACGTCGTCGTCGCAAACAGTCCACTTGAGTACACATTTTTGGAATGTTCTATTTTTACACACTCCCAAAGCTCTATCAAAGACGCCCTTTTGAACATCATCAAAATGCTGTTTAGTGCTATGGTCAAGGCTAACAACTGTCTTGCTTTACTTGATTCCTGATTGGTTAACAGCACAACTAGCACTAGTTTTTTGGGTTGTTGTTATTTTTTACCCGAAGGGACTTAATTGGATTGCTTTTGAAACCGACGGATTGCTTTTGTCGTATCAATGTGTAGCGTCGGTGACCTTGTGGTTAGGCTGCCTGACTCGTAGTCAGTCGTAATGCTCGGCCCGACGTTGTGTCCTTGGGAAAGGCACTTTGTACGAATTTCCTACAATTGGTTTGGTCAATTAGGAGATTTACGTTAAACTCGAAGGTCCCGCCTCTTAAATAACCTAAAAGTGTTGATAGGGGCGTTAAACCCATACCATTTCATATTAATGTACTTTTCTTTGACTGTTACATATCAAAGCAATGGGTCCGCTCATACCCGCTTACGCACGAACTTTAACCACGAAGTGAGACTCTATTGAATATAATTATCTCTAGGGTAGGGGACCAACCTCGTACAAGGCGTCGATTATAACACAAAACAAACACACACACACACACACACACACACACACACACACACACACACACACACA